ATTAATTTTTGCGTCTCCATAATTATAAAGATTTATTTTTAAATCTTTTCCTCATGAAATTTGGTTTTAAAAAAGTTAAAAAAATACAACTTTAATTTTAAAAAAAATTCGGGAAAAAAAAAATTCACGGGTGAACAGTACGGATCGCCCCCGTGAATAGTACGGATCGCCCCCGGGCGAGGTCAAACACGGTCAACGAGGTGAACAGTAATCTCGACTTTTGAGATTTTTTTTTTGTTACTTTTTTATATGGGATCGCCCCCATTATGTACGGATCGCCCCCGGGGGCGATCCGGGTGGTTATTTTGGCAAAACCTCTAAAATGTGGTTATTTTATGGCAAAGGGTTGTGTAAAACGGTTATTTTTATAAATTTCCCTAAAAATAATACTATTTAAGATAATAAGTAGTTTAAATGATGTTTAGTTATTAATAGAATCCTTAATATACAAATCGATACAGAGAATTAACAGTTGTTAAGTGAGCTAAAAAAAACGTTGAGGTTGCTTGTGTAATCAACTTTTTATCCAAATGGGTTTTAAGAATTTGTTTCTATAAGAATAAAATTTGTAAGACGTCATAACAACTAATTGTAACAGTTTTATACTATATGTATAAATGTTAATCCTATAAACTTTAATCATAAGGGTTGTGCCTGATTGGTTTGATCTTGGCTTCAAAGGTCAAAAGTACCTGGAGGTCCCAGGTTCAAATCCAAGGAGGAATAAAAATCTCCTTGTGGCCACGGAGGTTCTAAGCGGTGACTCTGGGTTATTTGCAAAGCAGGTGGTCGTCCTAGGATTAGTTGACTCGTATAGCAGGTTGTATATCCAGGTTAATAAAAAAAATCCTATAAACTTCTTAATGTGTCAATTTTGTTATAGTGAAGTGATGTAAATTATATATATATATATATATATATATATATTTAAATAAAAGTTAATCTTCTTTATTAAATATGTTATTAAAATAAGGTGTAAAATAGAATAATTTTGTGTGTTAGCTGTCCATGTGGAAATTAAATTATGCAAAGTCAGTTCCCATGGAACATATGCATGTTCATTGGCCCATTTTTCATGCATTTTTCAAAAGAATTGGCAAAAATGCATTTAGTAGTGTTAGAAATTGCTTATTTGAAACAATTTATTCTTTTCTACAAAAGTAATTATCAACTTATTATAAGTCAGAAGAGTTTAACTTCTTTAAAAACTTCTTATTACCGGTTTTACATCCAAACACTCAAAAGTGTTTATTACCGGTACCATGTCTAAATAAGTCAATAGATTGTTTTTATAAGCAATCCCAAACACCCCCTTAATAAAAAAAGACAATTATATTAATTAAAAACGATATGTTGTCTTAAATATTGTTTTATATTGCACTGTCCCTTTTTTATTTTATGAAAGTATCATGTTTTAAATATTATTTACGTAATTATTTAACCATTAATATCCAAAATCATATAAACATATGTAAGTTTTGCTTGGTTGTGTTTGTTAAAAACAATAAGATCCTAAGGGTATAGAAAAATTGGAAACCGAACAAACTATTCGAACCAAAACGGTTTTGGATTATTCCATTTGCGAGTATAGGTTAAACGGTTCAGGTAACCGAATGAGGTAAGTTTCGGTTAGTAAATCAAATAGCAAATATATAAAATTAACATTGCTTAAATTGATTTATCTTCTGATTAGTTGCAAGAGCAAGAAATTGAGATATATTTAACAAAACCAATCAATGTTAGCAGTGTACCATGATCGCAAGAATTTGCAGTAACAAAACAATCAATGTGTGGACGCGCGAGATGATTGTTAAATGAGGGATATATGTCATCACTTACGTATGAATCGGAATAATTAAAGTTACCTTTGACAAAATGTAGATTTATTTTAAAAGAGACAATATCGATCTTGATGGAATATTTTAATTACCGTGTAAATAATAATTAAATTATTATTAAAATTACATATTATAGTTTGAAAGAGGCAAGCATCGGAAGATTTGCATTGGAGTTATTCATGAATTTTAAATGCATAGGAAGTAAAAATGAAGTCAAAGGAAAATGTAAGGGGTTGTTTACCAAATACTTACTTGGGTAAGTGTTTACCAAGTTATATTACCTTATCGAATGAATATGATAAGAACCAAAAATCTTATCCGGTAGGAACGAGACAATGACCAAGAGTCTTACCCAGTAAGAGCAATGACTAGAGCCGATAGTCTTACCTGGTAGGTGAGAGTGATAATAAATTATATCATATGAATAAAAAAAAAATATTTATGAAAAAAAATAATGAAAAAGATGATTTTTGTAAGATTGGGAAGTCAAATTTGTCTGTTTTTGACCTTCATGTGATATAATATGAATGTTTGAAGATCTCAATGAAAGAAAACTAAACATGGAGATCTATAGTTTATGACTTCAATATTTTTATATGATTAAATTTAATAAATAAATGTTAACAGTTAAGATATTTTTAAATTATGATATCTTTGAGAATCAGTGTATCATGTCATGTGTTATTTTATATGATTTTTTATTATTTTTTTATAGGTAAAATTTAATATAATGATTAATATATATTTGTTTCACAATTTGTTAGTTTCAGATGTACTCGGTTTTCAATATGAACATTTTTTAGATGTTTGTGAAACAAAAAATACACGTAAAAAGTTTCACATTGTAAACCAAGTACATATAAAACAAACATATTGTGAAACAAATATATATTAATCAATACATTAAATAATAAACTTAGATGAAAAAAAAATCATGTGGGACAAAACCTTAAGACCAAACTATAAAACATCTTATTTGAAAATGTTACAATAGGTTCATAAGATGTTTTAATGCGTCTTAACAAGTTTTTTAGAGACTGTTGCTGAGCAGTTTTTGGATATCAAACGGACCTCACCAGAAGGTGAATAATTTTTGACGATACATTCCGTATCTTGCGAAAAAAACCGCTCATTGTTTATCCTATTTGGCTATTTCAGTAACATTGGTCTCTCTATTTTTGTGAAAACGATTTTTAAAATAAAGTGTCATATCATCTATTTTATAGCTATAATACTTTTGAAAAATATCATATAAATCCATATATTTATAATACAACACTTTACTTTAGAAACATCATTAAGAGTTTGTTAATACACTTACAAACGTCCTATAAATCTATCGTAATACTTTAAACAACACTTTTTAGTTTGATCTCATAAGCTTAATTCGTTTAAAGTAAGCTATTAGAACGCTTAAACATTTTAAACGTCTTATATACCCAATTTTATCGTAATGAATTACAAAATTTTCAAGAAAAATGTGGCTTTTGAGCATATCAAAACACTATATTGAGTGTTTTTTTGGCTTTTTTTTTTAGTAAAACTTATATCAGACTTGAGATCATGTGAGACCAAGGGTTTTTCGTGAGACACGTAAGACCAATTCTCAACCCTTGGATTAGATCTACAATCTGACAATCTGAACATTCATAAACGCCATGAGACTTCTCGATAATCACAAAATTTTCACCGTGTAACTTTAGATCATTAGATCATTAGCTTATAAAGTTGATCAATGAACATAAAATGAGCTTACGGGTCTCACGAAAAACCCTTGGTCTCACGTGAACCCAACTCACTTATATAACGTACGAATTTTATATGCATATTAGAATCTTTTTTATAATACAAACATAAAAAAATTCAACCAAGGAGGAATAAAAATCTCCTTGTGACCATGAAGGTTCAAATGTGGTGACTCCGAGCTATATGCAAAACAAATGGTCGTTCTGAAATTAGTCAGTTCGAATAACGTGTTGGATATCCAGGTTAATAAAAAAAATCAACTATTTTTGGACAAAGTTGATGAGATAATAAGATAATGGCCAAGAATAAAAATTAACATCAACAATACTACAATTTCATTGTTTTATATAAGATCTACATCTCTAATTTCCTTCTTAATAAATAAAAATGAAAATTAATTAATTAATCTAAAAAAAGAAAAAAGAAAAGTATAATTAATCCCGTGAGTAACACGTAAGCTGCATGTGGTTTCACGTAAAGTCGTACGTTGACCGATCTAGTCTTGGATTCACCACTCAACCGTTGACTTTTGAGTAATCTTACTCTTGCTTACACCCCTAGTAGCACATAGTAAAGTATGGTTATGGGCAAAGCTATCAACATTCCAAAAATAACCCTGCAAAATCCCCATTTTTACAAATTAGTATTTCACCGAAACCATCGCCGACCTACAAGCGTTTGTTCTGAACGATTCAAAAGAAATACAGAAAACGACTTACGCGGTGCTCAGAATATCAGCATGGACATTGTACTCCTTTGCGAAGACGAACGGCACGATTCCTTGAGGCAAAGCCGCCTACATTTCAAAATTAAATATCAACAACAGTTTCAAGGTCTGACACTTTAACTGCTTTCTAAGACTATATCTGACAAACTAATCAGTAACTAACTGTTAGTTAATAAATTAATTATTAGCTGTGAAGCTAGTTGTTGACTAATATACAACTTTTAATTGATAAAATAATTGATAAACTACAAATAACAATATTTAATAATAGAATTAATTACAAAAATATATACTATATTATAAAGCATTTGACAAAAACTCTTAAAAACATTTTTTATACATAAAATACTTTTTATTAATGCATATTATTTAAAATTCAAGATTACAAGTAAATTGTGCATAAGTACAACTTATTAAAACTCTATGTTTGAATTCATGTAACTAATTGCGGATAAACATAATCAAATAGAGGATAAACATCTCATTTTAAAATATAAAAATTTTAAAATATAATTAGAATAATTATTGAGTTCTAACAGAATACTTAATTATTATCTTTATAAAAAAATATTATTAAACCTAAATTAAGTTAATTCGTTACGTTAAATTAAATTATAATAAAAAATTTGAATTAAAAAAGTAAATAAACAAAAACTTTTAATTAGATAATTTGATACTAATATTGATATATTTTTTGTAAATTTTATATGATATTTTCAAAATTTTATTTTATTCAAAAATAAAAACATTATCGCTTTCTTAAAACCACATGAAATTATATTATATCGACATAGATAAAAAATAAAACGAAATATTGAAATGGAAATGTGTCCTGATATATTACATAAATATCCTTCTGATAAAAATATATCTTAATGCATTGCAAATTACGCTTCCAATAAAAATAACGTATTTGGAATAATATATGATTAGAACCTGAACGATAGCAACATGAAGGAGAACACCACGAAGACCGATGGCGATGGAAGTAGCCGCCATGACTGCTGGGCCAGTTAAGAACCTCACCGCCATTGAGAATGTCGCCACACGTTGACCACATGCGATTAGTTTTGGTTGTAATGCCATAAATAACCCTGCAATATATGTATATAATATTTATTAATAAATAATACAACTCATCAAATTAATGCATGCAGTTAATATTGGGTACTTAAATTAAATAATTACCTAGGCTAAACATAGCCATCCCCAACCCTGCATCCGATAAAATTGAGATCGATCCACTTACAATTGTTGGCATTTTAATGTCCCATCTGTACAAACACAAACATATATTAATTATTATTAATTGATTAATCAATTAATGTATGATGTATGATATACAGTTTATTGATTACATAATAATGTTACATGTAAGATGAGTTGAAATCAGACCTGAACGAAACTAGAGACCAAATGAGTCCCAAAAGACTCGAGTATGTGTTGGGGTTACGAATAAGTTTTCGCCAAACCATTATGAGGATGAGCCTCGTCATGACGCTAGCCGGCGGCATCCGGTGGTTCTTGTTTTCGGCCTCTTCCGTTCCTAGTTTCTTGAACGGGGATCCGTTTATTTGTAGTTTCGGTTCGTCTATATCTACCTCTTTCTGTTCTCCGTATGTTTTCGTCATCGGACTTGCATTTTCTGTGCAAAAACAACATTAGAGCATAGTTATACAAAATATACCCAACTCGTTTGGTTTATCTATAAATTAAAAGAAATAGTTACACAAAATATATAGAGTGGGTAAAAAGGTAATTCTCACCTTGTGGAGGTACAACCCTGGAAGGATCAATGGCTCCAAATTCAGCAGCAGCCTTATTAACTGCATGTTTCATGTTACCTTCAGAAACAGGAGATGCACTTGAGCTCCATACAAACATGTGAAGCTCTTTACTGTTGTTGGGCGGTGGTGCACCGCCACTGCCACCACCAACACCACCTTCTTTCTTCTTTGGAGCACCGCTGCCGCCGGCGGCACTAGTAGACCCTAATGAAAAGGTAGGGTTTGGAATTGGAGGTGGGTAAGAGCAAACTAAACCATTGTTATTACCATTCATGTTGTTAGTGAATAACTCCCCACTCATACTCCTCCCTCCTGTTCTTTTCTTCCCTATCCTCAACATTTCTTCTTCGAAATTCGAGGTTCTTGGTGTCGGACCTTTCGACGATTGCATCGAGAAGACATCGCCACCTCCGAAACTACTGGTGTACCCGTGTTTAGGGCTACCGGCTTTACTGAACATGGCGTAGAAGTCCGATTGGTTGAAGCTTGAAGCTCTGGGTGTTGGCCCTCTGGAAGACTGAACGGAATAGATCTCTACTCCGGTGAGATTTGATGCCCTTGGCGTTATTCCGGTGATGTTATGAGACTTGTTGTAAGAAGAGATCACAGATCGTGAAGAGGCAGTGGAAGATCTCCGAACCACCACGTGAAGCTTGCCGTCGTCTCCGATCTCGGCGTCGGTCTGTAAAGGCTCACGGCCGTTTAACGAGACAACGTCAGATTCGACATGGAAAGACGTGATAGAACCAGCAGTTTCTGGGAATTGTTCGGTTATGAGAAGCTTTGCTCCTCGATACTCGAACATGAAGAGCATGAGGGTGTACCAGATGACACTCTGCAACACGACGATCTGGACCATAAGAGATCCAGAGAAATCGCCATACATGGCTTTGAGCAATGGGATTCCCATGACCAAAGTGTTCGGGAGGGTCGAGAGGGAGAACAAAGTGATCATCCATTCGAGACTTCCAGTCTTACTCAGCCATTGCCATACGAATAAAGCAGATAGGATGACGAGTTTTTGAAGGGAATCAGCAGCGATAAAGTGGTAGTTCATCTTGTAAGGATTATTGGAAGAGATGAAATGGAAAGAAAGAAGTGGGACGGCAAAAACGGCGACGAAACGGTTAATGCCGGAGCACTGATCGGGGGTGAAGATTTTCCACCACCGGACGGAGCCATAGGCAAGCATCATGGCAACGTAGAGTGGTACGATGGCAGCGAGAACATCGTAAATGTCCTTTCCGGTGATCATGGTGGTTGTGCAACATGTACACAAAGAGAAATAATTAATGAAAGGTGGTGGCGGAGTGGTGGTTGGAGGCGGAGGAGGAAGATGCAGAAGTGATGGATGGATGTGGATCCTTATGTATTGGAACTTATGAAAGAGGGTAATTAATGAAACTGGGCAAACGGAATCTTATAAAACTATTATATAATGAAAACAGAAAGATTTTAATCAATAAAATAATTCATAAAACCAATAATTGCTTAATAATTATTAACTCATTTAATGTTTAATTATTATTTCATTTCTTATATATACCCTATATATATATATATATATATATATATATATATATATATATATATAGGGGTTGGTTCAAATACTAACCCAATCTTTTGTGCAAACTATGCTAACCCATCTTAATCGTTCATTTTCTCATCTAACGGTTATTATTAAATGAGATTAAATAAACAATAATTTA